CCTATATTGTGAGTAAGTGTTCAGATGAAAGGCTGACCAAAGCCTTTCATGTAAACATGCTCAAACCGTATTACGAAAGAACAGAAGATGTGGGCGCAGTATGTGCCCCCTCCTCAGAAGATAGTGAGGGACTTCCCCTCCCTGATCTGTTAGACCCATCGCCTTGTAGTATTGACCAAGAAAGCCTAGGTCAGAACCTTAAACTGCTAGAGCAAGGGGAAGCGTCGCAACTGCTCCACGAATACCGGGACATGTTTTCCGCCATCCCAGGCTATACCTCCACTGCGGTACACTGGGTAGAAACCCAGGGAGAAACGCCGCCACGGCAGCAGCCCTATCGTATTCCTGAGGCAGTTCGTGAAATTATGCTCGCAGAAATCAGAGACATGCTCAAGTTAGGGGTAATAGAACCCTCTCAAAGTCATTGGGCATCCCCGGTAGTACTAGTTCTGAAGCGCAACGGCACCACGCGCTTCTGTGTAGACTATCGGAGGCTCAATGATCGCACCATAACGGATGCCTACCCGATGCCCAGAATAGATGAGTTACTAGACCGTATGGCTGGAGGGAATTACTTGACCACCCTGGACTTGTGCAAGGGGTACTGGCAGATTCCCCTTGAGACTGCAGCCATACCCAAGTCGGCATTCGTCACTCCTTTCGGGCTTTACCAATTTAAGGTTGTGCCCTTTGGGATGAAGAATACTCCGGCAACCTTTCAGTGGATGGCTGACAGGCTCCTGGAGGGGCTCCAGGACTTCGCATGTGCGTATTTACACGATATTGCTGTCTACAGCCGCACATAGGGGGATCACCTGGGACACGTGTCCAGGGTGCTCGAGCGAATTCACCAGGCAGGGCTCACATTAAAGCCTGACAAATGTCATGTCGGCCACAGGGTAGGTTCAGGTAAACAGTGGCCCGAGCCTGCCAAAGTAGAGGCCATAGCAAATTGGCCCCAACCCCAGACCAAAACCCAGGTCTTAGCCTTTTTAAGAACCGCCGGCTATTACCGGAAATTTGTCCCTGAGTATAGCGCTCTGGCCAAACCCCTCACTGACCTCACCAAAAAGGCCCTCTCAAAACAGGTAACCTGGACCCTAGAGTGCGCGGAAGCATTCCAGAAACTGAAAGCGGCATTGAGTGAGACTCCTGTGTTGGCAGCACCCGACCACTCTAAATAATTTCTTGTCCAGACAAATGCCTCCATGTTTGGGCTGGGAGCCGTGTTAAGCCAGGTGGGAGACGACGGCATGGAACACCCGGTGGCCTACCTCAGCCGTAAACTTCTGCCCCGAGAGGTCAGCTATGCCACCGTGGAGAAAGAGTGCCTAGCCCTAGTGTGGGCGCTCAAGAAACTTCAACCTTATCTGTACGGCCGGCCATTTACTCTTATGACAGATCATAACCCGCTGGTGTGGTTAAATTGGGTGGCTGGTGACAATCCCAGGCTATTGCGGTGGAGCCTAGCGCTTCAGCCATATAATTTCACCATGCAGTACCGTCCGGGCAAACAAAATGGTAATGCAGACGGTCTGTCCCGCCAGACCAACCTGGATGCTTAAAAAACTATTTCTCGGACATCCCCAAGCCAACCCGACAGGGTCTAGGTGGGTATGCCGACCTATGGACTTATAGGGGAGCAGTGTGAAGAAACCCCCCTGTTCCCTCTGTTATGTACTTTTTGCATTCCCTTTTTATCCTCTATTGCTGCCTATTTCATTCGGTAGATGGAACTACCGAACAAGGACCACCCTCTGGCTCATTAAACATCAAAGGTTTAGGTGAAATTGCTACCTCTGTCTGTGCGGCCAGCGTTCGTTAGTCGAACACCACGTGGCAGAGAAAACCACGGCCATCTTTGTTCATGCGAACAAAGGCAGCGGGACCTGGTCGTCGAATGCATGGAACTGTTTTGCGGACACTCGACTTCCCGAACACCGGTCCCAAACAGACGAACGCTGGAACTCTATTTACCGAATAGCTAGAAGAGCGCTATTCGGTACTTTGGTGCATTCAACAGAGGGGCACGAATGCTGCTAGGAGCCAGAGGGATCCATTCGGTATTTTTATTTGGTTTTATGTGTTTTCGAAAGTGACCGGCAAAACCCACCAAATTCGTGGAACTGTTTTGGGTATGCAGCCCAGGGTAAGCCGGTCACACAAGACTTCCATAAAATTTGCGAACCCCTGATCCGATCTGGGTGAAATTCGAATATGTTGGTCACCCAGATCAGGGCTATCAGGGGACACAATTTATGGGGATACCCCCAGTATAAAGTGGTGTTCTGAAAGTTGGGGAAAAAGGGATTTTTCAGCCCGGAGATAATTAAGTTACTCTTTTATCAGACTAAATTATCTCCTGGGCTAGGGGAGGGAATTGTGGGTGTATGTTAACATTTTACTGTTTGTGATTGGTTACTGTTTGTCCCTCCCTGAGAGCTGTCCCCTTGCATGGGGACTTGCATAAAAGCTGTGTGCATTAAAGGACAGTTCATTTTGTACCCTTCTTCTTGACTTCGGCTGATGTTTGGGGATTCGTGTGTTTCACTGAGGGAATTATCTGGTGAGACTATTGGAATTGCTATAGGATTCGTCTACCCTAACTACCGAACGGAGGGCTATAATCACTAAGGCTCTGGCAGCTCGGGAGGAAACTACCGAAGGAGGTTTAAATATACTTGGTTTCCTTACATCTATGTTTAACAAAAAATAGTAAAATGGACTTGTCAGAGATGGTAAAAAAATTCAGCAGGGTAAATGGTGCAAAAGCACTTGAGCGGCTAAGTTGCCCTTTATGTTCTTTCAATTGTTTAGCAATATGTTTTGAAAATAGAATTAAAATTCTAGAGTATAGATATGCATAAATAGCAATTTGCCAAATTGAGTCAAATTGAGATATGAATAATAATGATATTTTATTAGTAGTAGAATTTCAGCCGGAGTCACATTTACCCTCACACATGTTTATACATAATTTGATTTTTCATAGGGAAAAACATATTTTTCCTGCATAATGGAAAGGACTGCCCCAGTGTCTAAAAGAAATGGTATTTTTCTGTTACCAGGCAAGATAATATTTACAAAATGCATCCTATAGGACAGCGAAAGAATTGTAAGTGATGAGCCCATTAAAGGAGACACATTGGAGGCATCTATGCCAAATCATGAAAATATTTAGTTAAAACTTAGTTTTTTCACCCCAATTACTTCTAATCAACAGCAAAGTGGGTTTATCCTTTTTTCTATGTGTACATGTTGTGTTATATTTGCATATTATGTTATAGTGCTGTTAGGTATGATTTATCTATTCTTCCTCTACATATGTTGCATTCCAACCTTAATGTGGTGTTGAACTATGTATAAATATGTCACTTAAAGTATAATAGTTTAATATCTGTATAAGTAGGAAAGCAATTATACTGTATATGTAGAGAGATGAAACATGTCTTGTTCTCCCTGGTAACAAGCAGACAACAGAGTACAGAGTTGACATCTCAATATTGAGACTCTTAGTATACTGTGTTCATAGTAATTTGCGATACTTGTCTTTTATCCTATAAGCATATTTTTAGCAATAAAGTCTGTGTTTAAATGGACACTCTGGACCCTAAGGCACGTTAGCTTTCTGAAATTCTTTATGTGTAAAGTGTGCTCTCTTTTTTTAATTTACAAAAAGTGCAGATTTTACTAGAAATTTGCACTTTTACATATTAACCTTGTTGCATGCCCCTGGTTTTCAAGCAGAGAACATGTATTGTTACTTCCTAGTTTGTTTAGCTCAGTGGCGATAACATCAAGATGCAGCAATTGCTCAGAGGACCTATCTTCCAAAGATTTCTCATTGAGTTATATTGGGAAGTTTGCGATTTGACAGTCATAGGAAGTCTGGGCTGAGGAAGGAAGGGAGGGCTTGCAAAGGTAGCTGTTTTCATTTGGGGTATATTGACTAAACATGATTTGTAAGTGCTTTTTTGACTATGGAGGGTCCCTTTAACATTCCTTTACATGTCCAGTATTTCCTGCTTGTCTGTAATTTTACAAAGGAAATCCTCAGATGGTCAAACAATACTTATAGACAGTATCTTTCAGGCTCCAGACAACAGGAACCAGGAGGGAAGTGAGCAGAGTTCCAAGTAGCTGGTGTTGATTACAAGACTACAGAACATAAACTGACTCTGTCTGGATTCACCTTTCATTTATTTTTCTTAACATTTTATTGTCCCCATTCCCATGGCAGACTGATTACCACTGTATTTGTCTAGTGACTAGCAATAATTGCTAGTCTCTGTTTATTCTGGAGTCTTATAGTTGCTACTATATCATATTATGATTACATTCATCAGTTACTGTTATTGCTACTCTGTGTTACTGTGCCATCTACTTGATACAGTAGCAGTTGGCGGGTTTTTGAGCCAGAGACCTGTGGAAATATTATAAACCTTGTCTGTATTTTCAAACGTGTTCAGTGTGCAGATCAGTGCTGCACAGTGCCAGAGTAATGCATTAGGCTTATGGTTGCCTCTCCATCTTTTCTTGCAGTACTTTAATTTCTTTTTTTTTTTTTGTAGTGCTAGGTGATATTTCATTTTTTGGCTTAAATTGTGGTAAAGCTATCATCAGCTTTGATAGGTTTAGCTGTACTATACTAGAGTATCCATGTTGTTATGTTCCCTTTAACTGTTGGAGGGAAATGTAGCCTTTGATATGAAAATGTTTAATCATTTTAGTGACAGTAATGTGAGGACTTTATTGTCTGGAACCCCTTTATTAAGCCATCTATGCCACTAATTTTGTAAACACAATTTCCATGCTATGCAGCCATTTCTCTCTTCACAGCAGCGCAGGCTTCAGGGGAGAACCAAATATCTTTCTGCTCTCTGTCTACTTAATCTCTAGTGGGGAGCAGCTCACTTACTTTGTTTCCTCCCAGTTGGGGTCAGACATGTAGAACCCACCAGACCACCATGGAAATTTCTGGATTATCAAGAATACGGATTAGAATCTCCCTCCCTGCAAGAAAAAGGTAAGAAGGAGGGTGGTGAGCTAAACAATGATACAAAAAAATACTCCACAGATAGTAACACTCATACTCACACAACACAGAAATACAATAAAAACGACACACACGTCAAGACCACAAACAGCCCCCACGCATACATATGCATTCAAAGACACAGATATGAACAGAGACACCAATATGCATTCTAGTCATGGTTACAGATACACAAAGATATACACATGAGAGATGCACAAAGATACTTATTGGCAGACACACAATCTCAGATACATGTACGCTACACCGCTACACAATGCCAGATATGCACACGCCGGTACCAATACATAACTGCAAGACACTTGCTGTCATTTTGCATCTGTAACTGTCAATATGTGTGTGCCTGGGCGTCATTGTGTGTCTTTGTACATCATTGTGTTTGAATGTAAGTGTTTGCATATATCAAAATGTATTTATATGTGCATGTATCAGAGTTTATATATGTATCAGTATGTGTGTGCATGCATTTGTGTGTGTGCCCAAATGTCATGGTAGTATGGCAGCAATGTTTACCTTCATTCATCTATCACTTCAGTAATTCAGGAAACAAATTATAAGCTTTTTTCTTGGTGGTACCGCATGCCTCATCTCGTGAGCAGATTCTTTCCAAGCGCCCTCAACATAGGTAATATTTTTATATTTTTGTATATTTTACATGTTTGTTCCACAATATTTTAACATGAACTTTCTCTTCATGTGCCCCATACATATTATATATTGATTTTGATATGATAGAAAGAGTTGTTATTTAATATCCTATATATATATCAAACACAACTTCAAGTGTTAATAAAATATTAAAAATGGAAAAATCACATTTTTGCTTATAATAATTTTTATACATCCAGTGCAAATAAATGAAAATAACTCAAAACAGATTAATATATTAGTCATGTTTAATAAATGTCTACTATGGCTAGGATCAAAATTAATTTTCTGTAGTTAACGCTAATCCTATACCAATCCCTTCACTAACACTATGCAATACATACCCTTACCCAATACTTACACTAACTCTAGATATATACCTGCCTTAGCCTTACCCTTAATCCTATATAATGCCTAACACTAAATCAGCATTAAACCAATGCCAGCATTAACCTTTACCTTACCTACATTAACACTATCTATTCATGAAAAGGACTATAAATAGGCAACAAGGTCACACATTGAAACTGTAAGAAATTAGATTTAGTCTAAGGCAAAGGAAAGTTGCTGTTTTTTACAGTTAGAACAAAAGGATGTGGAATTCTCTGCCTGAAGAGGTGGTTTTATCATAGTTTGTACAGATGTTTAAACAGTGGAAAATACACTGGCTACACTGGCTAACACTCAGACATAATTATAGGTGTCTCCTTGAAGCAGCCTGGTGTTCAGAAAACCGCATCTGAGCATTATCAGCTGCAGATGTATGAATTAATTTAAAGGGTGCTGTTGGGGCCAATATATACAACATACAAAATACACAATCCGGCGCACTCGCTTATTCACTAAACAATGATTTAAAATCTCACAGATTGTAATATTTTATTTAAAAACACCTCACCCAGGCAAAAAAAAATGTGGGGGTTTAGTTACATTATATGATCATACATTGCATAAGCCTGCCACAACATCAATGTAAGACCTGCCAAGAATGGGGTACATTAACGTTGTGTCAGGCTCAACTAAACCCCCTTTATTTTTCACCCAGATGAGGTGTTTGTAAATAAAACTATTACAATCTGTGAGATTTGAAATCATTGTTTAGTGAAAAAGCGAGTTTGCTGGATTGTGTATTTTGTATGTTATATTTATTGGCTCCAGCAGCACCCTATGATATTTGCATATTCAGGTGAGTGCAGCCCTAGCCATCTTTGGTTTTATTTATACATTTAGAGTCCAGGACAACTCCTTGGTTTTGCACCCCTCCCTATCACAGGTTCCTCATTCCAGGATCCTATTTTGCCTTGACCTGCAGAGAGTCCCAGGAGTTCCCAAGTAAGTGGATTCATCTCATAACGGCAGGCATTAGGTTGCTAGAGCAGGACATGCCAAGAATAGTGTACATTAATGTTGTGGCAGGCTTATGCAATATATGATCGTATAATATAACTAAACCCCCATTATTTTTTGCCTAGGTGAGGTGTTTTTAGATAAAACTATATCAATCTGTGAGATTTTAAATCATTGTTTAGTGAATACGCGAGTGTGGTGGATTGTGTATTTTGTATGTTATATTGATATACAAGCAAAGCCAGACTGAACTGATTCTTCACTGTATATACGAAAAGTAAGTCAGTAAGAAATGGTGTTGTTCATATACAAGTAACATAATGTAAGTTTAGCTAGCAAAACAAAATGTAATTTCCGTAGTATGCAACTCCATCATGGAATAAACTATAGAAATGTCTGCTTGTATTAAGCTTGTTTCCTTAAGATTTACAAAGGTCTTGTTTCTAGGAAACAAATCCTGTTCATTGTTTCAAAATATATTGTTTAATATGAGGAGGTCAAGAAAGGCAAGAAATCATTTTAATAACATTTTCACATTAAAAATCTCAGCTATTGCAAGTGCTAATACGTGTGTATTGATTTCAGAATAATTATATGCAACAATAATGTTAGGTGTATGGTAAATTCACTGCTTCTGCATAAATACCCTCATACTCAGACAAAGATTGTTAGTGACTAATTTTTCAAGTTCTAAATAACTAAATAAATAGGTTATAAAAATAAAGCAGTTGAAAAATGTGTATAATGCAAAAATTGATAAGAATTTGTAATAAATTAAATTTATATGTGCTGCAGAATTTTGTATAAGACTTGTACAGGAGAATAATTGTGGTTCTCCTGAACTATTTTGACAGAAAAAAATGTTATGGCAGAATTTCGTTCATGAATTTGTTGGATCTGATGAATCTCCGTGTGCCCACAATTCCACTTTATGATGTGCCCCCAATTCTTAGTTCTTGTGAACTATGGTACTGGGACATTTTTCCTTGTTTAATTCACTAGAGGATGAGGGGTGCAACTGTTCCTGTTCAATCTGTGTCTATCAACTACTGGCACTATCCTCTCCATTCCTGCTACCTAAGGGTACTAGTAGTAGTAGTAAAAGAGGAGGTAGCACTTGTAGTAAATTGTGACAACTGCACAAAATATATATTTTGAACACCTCTTTCCTGTCATGTAACGGAATGAACAATTTATCTAGAGGTTTATTGCAAGGTGCCTGGGACTGATCCGCCATGATAGCACAAAGCAATGGTGACGACAAGGAAAGGACAGTGAATTCTATGATACACTCAGGAGGAACAATGGGTGACGTCTCTTGTTCTAGTTCTGACTCTTGGTCAAATTGCCTAGATAAGGCGTCAACTTTAACCTTTTTAGGGCCAGGTCTATAAGTAATAATAAAGTTAAAGCGGGACAAGAATAGAGACCACCGAGTTTGTCTAGAAGACAGACGATTGGCATCACCAATATAGACCAGATTCTTGTGATTGGTTATGGTCTTTGGAACCTTCCAAAAGATGTTGACATTCCTTGATCGCCAATAGTTCTGTTCCCTATGTCATAATTACGCTCAGCTGGGGACAATTTTCTGGAGAAGTAACCACAAGGATGCAATGGGGTATACTGACTCTCTCTCTGGGAAAGGACAGCCCTGACCCCTGTTTCAGAGTCATCTACATTAAGTATGAAAGCTTTGCTAGTGTCAGGATGTATCAATATGTCTGCAGAAGCAAACAATTTCTTGAGACATTCAAAAGCTTCTTTGGCTTCTTTGGACCATAAATTTCAATTAGCTTCCTTGCGTGTCATATTGGTTATAAGGGCTATTACTGAAGATAAACCTTTTTTGAATCTCCTGTAATAATTGGAGAAACCAATGAACCTTTGAATGGCCTTCAACCGCTGGTTAATGGCCAATGTAGAACATCTTCTAGTTTGTGAGGATCCATTTGGAAGCCAGACACAGATATATTATATATATGGGTGGGGGCACCCGATTTGTTTTCCTGACACTATAGTGATCCTTTAAGGAAACATCAGGGACTTCAGCAGAGGATGGTAAATTTGGAATCTGTAATTGTCAAAGAATGGTGTATGTTTACTGTATTGGTTTATCTAGTTTTTATCTGCAAACCATGCACTGACTAGAAGGGAATGCCAGTCATTTTGGAGGTAAGATCTGTAGCATTGAAGATACTGCTCCAAAGTCTGATTGCTATGCCCAATCTGCCCCTTTGTCTGAGGATTGAGCGAGAAATTGAAGAGGATGTCCAGAGGGCAATCCTTTATTAAGATGCCAAACTGAAAGGTGACATTTTGGACACATAAGGTTTTTATTAAACCTGATATACACATCCATTATGTGTCAATAAATAGATATCCAAATATGTAATGAGCATGAGTATTCTCCTCAATAATCATGACTGACATGTGAACAATGATAACAGATCATGTGAAAGGAAACATAAGCAAAGGCATTAATAATTTCACTGTAAAGTACATATTACATAAATATTAGTCAATTTTGAGCAAGAGATATCCAGATATGGTGTAGCTTTAGACCCATAGGGTAGTATAAGGCAAAATCATTTAAAGAATAGAGAACTCTTGTAAATAAAATAATATTTTGGTATGAATAGAAATTATGATCTGCACATATTTCTATAATATTGACTTTTTGATTTGATCTCTACAGGTTTGTTAATTACCTGGTGGCTGGATCTCATGGCTTAACATTAGGAAATCATTGTAGTCACAGTGATTTACTGTTACTGTTCGTGTAGCAGACTCCTGCAACATTTTGATGTATCATTTTTGTAGCATTCTCCAATGTAAGCTTTTTGTAGTTAACAATACTGGATGTTCCAAACCACTTCAGCAGAAACCGACACACAAATGGTGCCTGTGATTGAACAGGAATGCAAAAACTGCTACACAACTGCCTGGCCTAATGGATATATAATATCAACCATTTTTTGCAATGCCAACATTTAATTATTATATATCTGGAGTAAAAAAAAAAAAAAATAGGAAGTGAGAGAACATTTAATGATTGTAATCTTTTTCATTTTGCTATCTTGGATTCTTGTATTAACTTAAAATGATACAAAGCTGCAGCAGGAGTAATTTTAAGTTGAAAAACAGGTTTTATTTTTTACTAAACAAAAGGGAAAAGTCTGCGAGAAATTAACAACCCACTCACTCTTTCCATCCTGAGAAGAACAAAGCGTTCCTACACATCCAATCTTTAGTGTCAGTGACTGTCTTTAAGTGATAAAATAAAAAAAAAAACCTGTGCCTTAGAAGCAGCATGTGTAATTTTTATTTTAAAAAAGGGGGGACTTCTAAATAATAAATAAATAAAGGATGGCAGCGGTGTTTGTGCATGAATCTCATGGAACTGAAATCTGATACAGAAACTACCGAACACAACTAAAGAGACTTGTGTATTTTGTTACACAAACACGTAAATGTACTATTAGCACCACTATAACTTTGCAAACTGTTACTACTTTGTATCTGAAAATGCAAAATAAAGAATGTAAAAAAAAAAAGATACTCCTGAACACAGCTGGACTTCCATCATCGCCTGCGTTCGATTCTATTCAACTTAGAAGGCACTGTTCAGTGAGATCATTCGTCTGGATGAAGGGAACAAGCTCTAGGGTAAGACTATTGACTTTTTTCGGCAGTTCGTTTTCAAAATACTGAACTAAACCGACTGCAAGCCCTGATTCTCTGGAACTGTTTTGGGCATGGGACCATGCCTGCTGACGGTCAAATAAATTACTTCCATAGAATTTCTGAACCCCTTAACTAATCTGGTTGAATTCTGGATATGTTGGTCACCCAGATCAGGGCTATCAGGGATGTAACATTTGTCGGGATATTATGTGCTCTGGGGTACTTCTGGGACTTTTTAGAAATGTGTGATTTTTCTGCCTGCAGATAATGCAGTAATTGACTCAATTATCTCCCAGGCAGAGGGAAGGGATTGTATGCCATGTGTGGGAGTGCCTTATATTGTAACTCTGTTATTATTGGTGTGTAAGTTTTTGTCCCTGTCCCCAACAAGGTCCATGAGGTGTCACCCTTGCATGGGGACTTGCATATGAGGCCAGTGTGGTTACCATTTAACCAGTTCTCTTCACCCTCAACACACAGCCTCATGTCGTGATTGTAGGGAACAGCTATACCAGCTATAATGCCTCCTCTTGGGATTGCTTTTTGGATTACCATAATGGCTATAATCACTCACTCTTGTAAAAGCTTTACCTGCTATACTGATGTTGGCCATGTCTTCACAGCATGGCAGTCAAGCGCCGCCCTTAATACTCTGTTTTAATAGAAATAAACTTAACATTAAATCTCAAATTGGTAAAACAATTCTAAGTCAGTAAGAAGCAATAAAGGTGAAATATATTAGTGTATTTTTATTATTTTTCAACAAAAATCTTTTAATTTTTAATCTATACTGGATCTTCATTATACTGTGCAGCAATCTACATGAATTGTCCTTGTTTGACACAGAAGCCACCTACGGTCTGTGGATTGAGCAGTTCTTATTGCTCTAAAATCTGTAGGTAGGATTCTATATTTATATACCACCACTCCACATAGTGTACATTATATATGTGTATTTTCTGTTACCTATATACGGTCAGGATATCTACAAGAACATCCTAAAATGGGGATTATGCCACTCCATACTACCACAGCAGAGTAGGAATTTGCTCACTAATATATCATTGTTTTATTATAAATTGAGAACTACACCATCTGTCTCTCGGTTTTGTTCTAATTACATATCCAAGTCCAAACACAGTTGTAAGCAATTTTGAGCTATATTTTAGCTCTGGAGAATGCAATATATATATATATATATATATATATATATATATATATATATATATATATATATATATTTCCCATTTACTACATACATTATAATACACTGCATTTTATTGTCTGTTTTAAGTTTTTCATATCTCACTCAGACTGCTGGAGGAGTCTCCCCACATTTCTAAATCAGTAAAAGCAGCAAGAAAAGAGGATTTATTGTTCTATATTTTTATTTTAAATTTTTTAAAATTAATTAGATGATGAGGGGTCCAACCTTTCGTCTCCAACCTGCTTGTGTTCACTACTGGCACTTCTAAACGAAGGTAGCGACAATTATGTAGAATAGGATACAGCACCAGTTGAACTACTGCCAGCTTTAGTACTCTCTTGTCCCGCTTTTTCCCTCAGAATTACAGACTTGTGATATTGTTGCTTTACCATCACTAGTGAGATGATCCTCTACTCTTAAAATTCAGCGCTTGTACAATACTGATATAGTCCAAAGGCAGCACAATCACCAAAAGCAGAGTCTCTCTTGTCCGATAGGGGACAGGATAAAATAGGAAAAGAAGGTGCAGCGTCTGAAGTGGCCCTTAAGGCATGAATGCAATGACAAAAAAGAAAAACAAAAAGGACTAAGAGTGTAGAAAATTAAAAACTTCTTGACAGAGTAAAGAAAATAAAAAATGTACACTCACTTTCAGGGAGCTTAAATACAGCTTCAACTTGCACACCTGGGCGGAATGTTTCTAGCCTATGAATATATTGTGGTACAGATTCTTCAAGTTTTCCTTATGGCGATGGGTAGCCTCATAAGCAATAAAAGAGAAACTAAAAGTATATAGTGTAGTATGTAGATAGGTGTACACTCAAATATTATGGAGCATAAGTATTGGCTGCAGAAGTAATGCCTGAAGTGGTATATATAAAAAAATAAAAAGCCACCATAGTGCGCATCATATAATAGAGTGTAAAGCACTGGGCTGTCATTTCCAAGTCTCTAGAAAAAGCCCCATGCCATGGCATCTTACATGGACAGGAAATTATGAAAAAGTATTACTGGTCCTTGCCAGTGGCCAGACTTAACATAGGCTAAAGAGAGACTAAGCCATAAACAAGTCAAAGTCAGAAGGAACCCATATCAGAAACAAAGTAACATCATTGATTTCAGAGATGCTCTGACTGAGCATTGAACATGGGGAAGTCTTTGAAATTGATCTTTAAGATTTAAAACTACACAGATCTTCAATCAAGCAAGCATGTTTATATTTTCTGCTTTTTGCAAATTGGGTATTTCATTATTGTAACAGATCACCTGGCACCCCGACTGGGTACCTCCATTGAAGGATGCTCCTAGCGCATCCTGCGGACACCAAGCACTCTAGCAGACACCACAGCCACCACAGACTGAACTTATCTTCCTTCAGAGCGAAGCAGGAACAAGCTCTTAAAAGAGCTTAGTAGTGATTTAGCAAGGGAGTATGAAAGCATAGAAATCCCTTGTAGCAGATTCCCCCAATAAGAGACAGGACTCAGATTGAGGGTGAAGTAGAACTGAAGCTTTTAATCAAACACTCTGCTTTTATGCACATTTTACATACATAGTACTGCCCACAGGGTTTTGCAGAACAACCAATTAATACGTACAATACACTCAGACACTCCCACACAAAATCCTACCCTCTGCCTGTGATATAATTACTGAACACAATGGTCTAACTTAATTATCACAGGCAGGAAAATACACAGTTTTACACAATATTCATAACTCTAAAAGTATACATCACATTCACATAAAACATTTACAGAATCAACATACTTCAAATACAAACATATGTCAAAATCATACAAATTGGTCCAGTGGGTTAAAAGTTAGTTAAAAGTCCATTTGTGACCATCTGCAAGCATGGCTTGGGTGTGGTAAGCCAATTACCTCCAGCATACAGAAAATAGCTCTATTCACAACAACAGTAAAAACACATAAAAATACATAATTCCTATTATACTTAACAGAACCCCCACATTCACCTGTCCCCAGATAACTTGGATCTGAGCGCTCACTATATCCAAACAGCGCTCAGATGCCACAAACACAGTCAAATTGCCATGGAGTTAAAACATAGCAAGAGCTGATGAGAGACCGAGGAGGGGCAAAACAGCAAGTTCCAACTGGTCTGGCAGTGTGCCTGGGATATCGCCCTATATAGGGGTATATTTTGGACATAACTATGTGGATATTTTTAAAGACTGGACATCTCCTGAACCCCTGGCCAAATAGTGGAACTTGTATTTTTAAGTAGCCTTATAAAATTTTAGATTGTATCCAAACCATTTGATTACTAGTGGGACTCATTAATAATTTCATATCATGTTATTTCTGTATCTCTAATAGTGACATGTTGGGGTTTGTTAATACTGTAACCATTGTTTGCTAATGTTATAATGGCCGCATATATGTCACTTTAGTATATAGCCTCTGGTTGGTAAAATGTACTGACAATATAGGAAACAAGTAATTGTCTGCAAATTATAATAATCAACTATGTAAAATACCATTTATTTCTCATATTTTCACTTTTTAACAGTATTGTAAAGTACATGTAGGTAGGCCAAAATAGTGAAAAAAAAACAACAAAAACATGAATTGTCTAAATCAGCTTTTATGACCAAAATCTGCTATTTGATTTCCAATTTACAACAATACTTTACTAAATAATGCCTAAGACATCAAAACGGCATTTTACTTCAAGTATCAAACAGACGTGGTTAACCCCTTAAGGACCAAACTTCTGGAATAAAAGGGAATCATGACATGTCACACATCTTGTGTCCTTAAGGGGTTAAACACATTTTGTAAGAACATGTTTTATAGCCTTTTTTGTATCTTTTTCAATATATGAAAACAACTCAGGACGTTATTACACAGGTATCCAGTGGAAATATAAAGACACATGTAAAAGATTCAACCATACTAGAAGTGAATGCAAGATAAAACTATAGTTTTAATAAAAACAATGAACACTATTTACAAGACATTTTTGCTTTTTGTTAAATTAATTGATGTACACACATGGGTGTGCTTATAGCTGGTCTGTTGCTGGGTTGCAAAAATTGAAACACTAGTTATGTTTTATTTGGAAGCTGTCTACAGAATATAATATTCTTAT